CCACTTTCTTCTGTTTCTTCATTGTTCTCTCTTTTCATATTTCTATAGTACATTCTTGTTCCTTCAACATTGTAAGGCTTGTGTTAAGGCATACAATTCACATGTTTGGGCTGACCACATTAATGGCAGTCTCCCTGCTTAATGCATGCAATTCACAAGTCTGTGCACACCCACTTAAAAACAACTTTCCTGCTTCTTCCTTCTAATATCCATTCCTGCACTTCCCTTCCACCACTTTGGTCTAACTTCTACTTTTTTTCCTTTCACAATTACATCTGCTATCTACAAGTGTATACCTCCTTTTGGCTTTCTGATGTAAAATTGCCCACACTTGATAAGAAATGGTAACCACCAAAACGTCCCCAAATGTCAATTTTAGGCAAAAATGCCACTGGCTGCCTCTTTGCCCCCAGTTCTGAGTCAAAACCTCCTCACCAAACTCTGTATTTGTTAACATAAACTCTTTTTCTAACAGTTTTGCATACAAATGTTTAGTCAAAACAACATAGCTATTTATAATCCCAAAATTTTTCTCAACTTCTTCATTTTAACTTCACAAAAAATAAACAAACTTAATAAGATATTCTGAGTAACTGAAAGAGATTTATATCAAACCCTAGTATTGGTTTTAATATAAAGTTAGTCAAATTCCAATTTAATCAAATTCCATTCAGATGGAAAGAATTTTCTGTTAAGTAGATTAAACGTTTCCAAATCGAATCAAAACAATGCAAAGTCATTTCTTTTGGTTGATGGATATATATATATATATATATATATATATATATATATATATATATATATATATATATATTAAACAATTTAAACTCAACAATTCCCCCCCCCAAAAAAATTGTCCAACAATTACTGTCTCCTCTTTCGAGTAAAAACTGCAAGAGTGGGATCAAATTTCAGATCCACTCCACCCTTCTCAAATCGCAATTCTAAGCAGAGAAGGGGAAAAAAAATGTTAAAATGAACAGCTCTCCCCTTCTTCTTTCTGTCTCACTCGCTCTTAAAGCAACACAGCAGCAAAGAGATGGTGGGGGGGGGGATCTCACCACCCAAAAAAAAAAATTCCTTCATATGCATGTTCCATAAATTCTCTCACACATCCTCCATAAAACTCTTCTCATGCAAACACTTACTATTGCTTTTCAATTTACTTTTACAACAATAAAATCTGCAGTTTACAATTTTTCACAGCCTGGGAGGGAGTGGGTGGGGGGATGGGGTTTGAGGGCTAACACACACTTAGGTATCAACAAATCAACTCATTCACTTCCATGCTGCTTTCATAAACAATTCCACATACAAATATTTCATTTCATACTTTCTTCAGGCAAACTATTTATTGTTAAATAAGGCCTTTTTATGTGTTGTTATCAGAGAGGGTGTTGACCCTCGTCCAAATCTTGGACATAACACAGAACAACACAGACAAACATATATACACAAATACTATTAAAACAACATTTATTTAGACATATGGCTTGTCCTGCAAAAAGCGAGAAAAATCATGAGGTGATTCCAACCAAACATGGTTTTTTTTATAGGGCCCTTTAATCGTCCCCTATTTTTCTCACCATTCCAAGTCCAAGCATAATGTTTTGGGTGGCCCACACACACACACACATATACATACATACATACATATATATATAAACAAAACACACTACAGATCAATTTGGGGTTTGAGGCTAAAACAGGCCTCCCCTTTTATTGCATACTGCCATAAGGAAACAGGTTGGGCCCCTGGGTGAAGATGGGCTGGTGAGGGACAGCATAATGAGCAAATCCTGGGATTCCATGAGACCAAACCTCAGGGGAAATGGAATCCGGAAAAGAAACAGGAGATGCACTAGCATCCAGATAACAAATATAAGCTTGCAAAGCTGGAAAATCCAAAGAAATACCCTGGGGTTGACAATTTCCCAGGAAATCTCTGCCCAGCAAATTAATAGGGCCCTTGGGTAAAACCAGAAATGAGTGTTGAACTTGGGCCCTTGGCTTGGAGTCACACACAAAGGGGTGGTGCAGGGAGCCATTTCAGTTTGCCCACTGACACCAACAATAGGAGTAGTCTGAGAACTCAAACAGTCTTTAGGGGCATGCTGCAAGACACTGTAAGTTGCCCCAATATCTACAAGAAAAACTTTGTTCCTTCCCCCTACCTGCAACTCCAAGAGAGGTTCAGGGGAGAAAAACAAGACCTCTGGAGCCACATTAGTATTGGGAGGGATAGCCGTCATTAGCATACATTTGCATTTTAGGATGGAACGGTTCAGCCTGTGGTGACAACCGGGATGGGGGAGGTCCCCTGTTATTGAATGGAAATCCTCTCCTTCCCCTCCAGGGCCCATCCGTGGCCCCAATTCTTTGGATATACACTTTTCCAGTGGCCTTGTGCTTTGCAAAAGGGCACACTGGTCTTGCCCCAGGGTATTCTGACGAGGCTGGAGAGCAACGGCCAAAAGTTGGGCATGCTTCCTCATGTTATCTTCCTCTTTCCCCTCTGCAGCCTCCTCCCTCTGGGAAAGCAGTTTGTATTAAAAGTTCAAAAGTTTGAGCACTGGGTGAAACAAGTTTTTTTTTTTTTGCAAGTTGCGCTGAATATCGGGGGCGCTTTGTGTAACAAAAGCCATTTTCAAAACTGGTTCACTGGCTGGGCTATCAGGATCAATGTCTATATAACAACGAAATCCATCTTTTAATCAGTTGATAAAATCAGTAGGACTCTCTTGTGCTGTCTGGAAAATCTGATTCACTCTATAGTAATTAACAGTCTTGGGGACCCCAGTTCTAATGCCATGGAGAATGGCTTTGTGAAAATTCAGTAAGGCACCATATCCCCCATCAGTGTTAAAATCACATTCAAAACTTGGAACAAAAACAGCTTCAGATGCTGGCCACTGTTCAATGTCTCTTTGTCCATCATTGGTGGCTTCCTTCCATCCCCCAGTATATTCCTCCAAGGCTTTTTTTTTTTTCAAAACCTGGCGTTTGTCCTCAGCCCCCAAAAATCCAGATAACAAAGTATCTATATCAGGGACCGTTGGCTTGTGGGTGGCAAAAATCCTTTGAAATAAATCAACGTACTGCTGGGGGGATTCTCTAAATGGTGGCAAGTTAGCTTTCCAGTGAAAAAGGTCACTGGTGGTAAATGGGGTGTGAACCAGGACCATTTTTCCATTTGCTGCTGGCACCTGTCGCAGTGGGCATATTGTCTTCTCCTCCAAGTGTTTTGTTTTAGCATAAACTTTGCCCTGTCTCGTGTGAGAAGGGCTTTGAATCCGTGCAGCAGAGGAGGATCCCTCATCAGGATCTTGGTCTTCAGAGACGGAGAGAAGGGGGGCTGCGGGGGAAGCAGCAGCTGAATGCAAGGACGGAGAAGAGACAGAGGGGGCTGTGGGGGAAGCAGCAGCTGAGCTCAGACAAGTTTGAATTGCTTTCTTTTGAAACTTATTTATTTCTGGGCGGATTGGACAGACCAAATTCAAAACCTTTGGAGGGACTAACAGGCCACATTGTTTTAAAATGTCCTGTCGGATGCTCAAATTAAAGAAAAAGCCTGCATATAATTCTTCATCCATCCGCCCTTGTATAGCAAAAACATCTATAAGCTTATTAATAATATCCAAGTGCACAGACCCTTCTCTTGGCCAAGGTTGTTGCCCAGGGCCCATAAAATAAGTTGGCCACACATCAAAACAAAGCACCACCAGACATTATCTGACACCAGACGTTGTCTGACAGGGTTAAACTTAACAGCCACGTGAAAAATCCCAATTTTCCAAAACACTTTGCAGAGGATTTCATTTTGAGTTAATTTGTTTGTTTAAATTACTCTCTTTTTGTTCTTCTTCTCTTTTTTTTCTTTTTCTTTTTTTTTCCTTTTTACTTTAAGATAGTTTCTTGGCTTCCTCCCTTTTCACTTAATTAATTTGGAATTTTGTAATTAATTTTTCCTTTGGAGGACTAGTCGGGGAGATCAGCCCCCTATCTTATTCCAAAATTACCAAAACCTCTGCAAAAAAAATTACATACCAATTTAATTATTTTTCTTAACTCACTCTATCCTGTATTAGAAGACAGTTGCTTGGCTTCCTCTTTTCTTACATTTATTCATTTATTTTTATGCTTATCTGTAGAGGATAGTCAGAGAGATCAACCTCCTGCCTTATTCCAGGATTTCCAAAGCTTTTTTATTTCTTTTACTTACCAAGGCGCCTGTTGCAATTTCTCCCGTCAGTAGAGAAGCATGAAACCTCGTTGAATTCGGGCGTTCAGGTTCATCAGACACGGACCCCACCATCGACGATGAAGCATAGAATCTTCCAGGTCAAACACCTGGGAGCGCTCTAAGACTCACAATTCAGTCACCGCTGGTTTTGTCCTGTTGAGAATTGAAGGCTCGCTGGGACCTTAACAGGGGTCTCCAGATGGAGGGGAGAGCCATTGTGGCTTCCCCCACGTTGGGCGCCAGGATGTAAGGTTTTCCACTTAACCTCACAATTGCCCCAGCATTACTCAGGAATTTAAAAGAGCCAAAGAAACTCCTGAGCCGAGGTTTCAGCAAGCAAACAACTTTTATTTTGATCAAAACAGAGTTGGGTGACCCCATCTCTCTTCGTGGCTGGTATAGAGATGAAGGCAACAACCAGAAAAGATGTCTTCCACCTTTTATACCTTTTCAGAACAAAGAGATCAGGTCTTGGTACCAGGCATAAGATGGCACAAAAAAACAATTCCTAGATGATGACTCATACACAGCAACCCAGGCTCCATCCGTAACTCCTTTTCCCCCTCCCCTTACTGTGCTCTTTTCATATAAGCTATCACCTGTACCTAAAGCATGAAGCCCTTACTTTTCCAATATATATATAAAGCATCTGATCAAGCAATTAACTATAAAATAATGATTACAAAATAACAAAACAATGATGACATGATAACACTATAATTATCAATATAAAATGGTTACTATATATAAAATAAATGCTAATGTCAAACTTAAACATACTAAAATCATAAGCACAATAAAATCCTTTCAGATGTCACTTTTTTTCTCCTTTTTTCATTCAAATAGAGTAAAAGATAGCTGGATTGAGATATTGTGATAAATTATACTCTGTTTTATTCAAGATTTGTCAAAAAGGACATTGTGACTTCATGATAATGGCAATAATTGCATTCTATTTATTACTACATTTTGAAAAGCATTTTAATTCTTGTTAGTTCAAAATGCAACAGACAAAAACGCACTGCAATTTGCATATTATCTTGTACTGAAGGAGCTGCATCAGCTTCAAATTGATTTCCTGATGCACTTTAAGGTGCTGAACAAAATAGTCTGGACCAGGAATGTCCAACTTTGGCAACTTTTAAGATTGGTGAACTTCAACTTCACCAACTCCCAGAAGTTGAAGTCCAAAAGTCTTAAAATTGCCAAGGTTGGACACCTCTGGCCTAGAGCTAGGATATATAAAAGATCCTGTCCCCTTAATTCTTATCCACTAATTTTGATTAGTTTCATAATCTTTGTTTGGTGGTGAAGCTGGGGGGAATCAAAGGGATCACAATTTGAGTGACGTTTCTCACTCTAATGTCCCACAGACTTAATTTTTCTGACTTTATTCTGGCACCTGATATTATCAAATTAAACATGTAGTAGTGATCAGTGGATGTTGTCCCTCAAGGGACCATAAGGACCTTGGATAGGTCTGCAATCCCCTATCATCATGTGCTTTAAATAAGGTTGCTGTGCACTTTTAAATGCTTTTAAAAAGTTGGTTTATTAAATCCATTTGCTTCTGAGATTAAATTTTTTGCTGCTTTTATGATTGCTTTTATGCACACATAATACTGCTCAAGAAATAAAGCAGTACTTTCTAAGTTTTTATCCTGCCCATGATGAATTATTTGACAATGGGTGAAATATGATGGCTTGAAAGCTATCAACTGGGACAAATTAAATTTCAGGGCTGGCTGGGGATTTAACTCAAATCTTTCTCAAGTCCTACTTTAACTAGTACCCCTGTTAAAATACTGAGGTCATAGGATATTTTTAGTTTGAGCTGAAATTATGTTTTTCATTTTCTAGGATGTATACTGTATCAGAGCTCTTGTATGGAGCTCAGCAAAAGAAAAAAGGAGAGCCCTGGTTGATTTGAATGCTAGTTTCAAACTGAATTCATCTCATGTTTGTACTCTGATATTAAGGGGAGCTATTTTAAGCTCTTTGGGTAGCCTGCCTTCAGAGAAAAATAAAGATCATGAAAAGGTAATCCCATTCTCCTAGAATTTATGGTTTGGGTATTTTTTAAAACTGTAAATTAGTGAGAGAATAATCTTAATAGAAATATATACTGTATTTTGTTAGTACGAGGAATGATTTACTCTCATATATATGGACACAACTACTGGTAATGCTATGAACAATTACTTATATTCCACTTGCTCTTAAATCCAGTGAGGAGAATAATATTTCTTTTTTAAAGAATTTTTTGTATTAAAGTTTATAATATAAAATACATATGTAATAAAGATCAGAAAGGGAAAAGGAGTGTAATGAAAAAAGAAAAAGAAAGAAAAAGAAAGCAGTGACTTCCAACTCTTTACAATGCAATAGAATACAAAGCACAGTTACAGCCTCAGCTTTTTACCTTACATTTCTAGTAGATACAAGCCATTTCTACAATAGCAAAGTTGATCTAGCCATCAAAACCTAAGATCAAAATTTCATTTTTTTGTTTCAAGCATAAAGTCTAAAACTAGTTTCCAAGTGAAAACAAAGCTCTTCTCTTTAATTAAAACAGTCAGCTTTGCCATCTGCACCAACTTCATCACTTTTCCATCCATTCCATTGTGGGAATTGACATGTTTTTCTATTTTTAATGCATACTTGATACTTCTACTGTCAACTTATATAATAACAAAGTTCCAAATATTCTTTAAGGACTGTCCAGCAGTCCTTAAAAAGAAAGCCTCTGGTTTCAGTTTTATAGTTGTTTTTTAAAAAGAGATTTCTAAGTTTACCTAGGAAAACAGACTTGATGATATCTTATAAAATAATGTGTATTAATGAAATAAAGCTTGGACCACTCATGGAATATTAAAACATTTTGAACCTATAACCAAGAATAATACCAATAACATCTATTAGGGCAGGGATGCAGTAATGATAGCAGAGATCATTAAAATGTCTGAATTTTCTCAATAGTCAATCAGCTTTTCAGTAATGTTTTGTAATCTGAGATAGCAATGAGATTCATACACCGAACATTTCTAAAAATGAGTATTGTATTATAAAAATATAGGGGGCGTGATGGCAGTTATAGCAATTAAGAACTGGGCTTGTCAACCGAAAGGCTGGCAGTTCGTGACCCAAGCACCATGTGAGGGTAAATTTCCATTCTTGCCCCAGCTCCTGCCACCTAGCAGTTCAAAAGCATGCAAATGCAAGTAGATAAATAGGTACCACTTTGGTGGGAAGGTAATGGTGTTCTGTGTGCCTCAGCGCATAGTCATGATAGCCACACAATCACAGAAGCATCTTTGGACAATGCTAGCTCCTGGATAAGAAATGGAGATGAACACTGCTCCCTAGAATCAGAACAACTGGATAGGTGAAACCTTTACCTTTTTATAATACAAATAAAGTACAATGATTCAAGTGGTTAGGACGCTGGGTTAGAGGTTAGCAAACCTGTGTTCAACACTCAACTGCTGCCCTGGGGTAGGATGAGCTCCCATTCTTCACTCCAGCTCCGTCAGGGACATGAAAGGAGCCCCCAACTTGGTGTCCCTCAGGCGAAGATGATGTCACCAGCTAATCCTTTCAACCTGGAAGCACCTCAGTGCTTCTAATACAAGTGTGATGCAATACAAATAGAGCTATTAAAATGATTTCCATTCTTAGCTTCTATGCCTATTTGTTACAGAATAATTTATTATTCTCACCTCATGGAACTAGCTGTATTATGTGACCACTTCTCTGGCTGAGGTAGAGAATTGTAGTGCTTTAGCTGTTGCTGAACTTGACGTTTCATTAGCTCTAATTGGTATGGCCATTGACAATGGTTGCTGACTGGTAGATGAAATACAGCAACTCCTGAGCAGCTAAAAGTTCCTTGCCATAAATGATTGATAAGGTTATAGCCAACTTAGCAATTTTCACATTGAAAATTTCATCTGATAAATTAATTTAGCAAAATGAAATACAGTGGGCTTTATCACCATAGTGACAGAAATTAGAGAAAAATATTAATTAAACACTTGTAAAATGCATGTGTGAGTTTTGGAAGTCATTCATGATTTTTTCAAGATTTAGTAGTTCAGAAGTGTAGTTTCTTGCATTCGCTATATATGACAATATTCCTGATCTGACAATGAATGAACTAAATGAACTAAAGCACAGATACTCACAGCTAGCAGCCTATTGCATAATTAGATTGGGATATTATTTTCTGATAGGAAAAACTCACATAGATTTTTATTTCATACTAATTTTGCAAAAGCAAGTAATTTCTATTATGTGTTTTAATTCTTTTAAATTTTCTTTCCAATGTCAAGCTCTAAAATGAGTATAACCCATTTTTAAATTCCCTTCTTTCCTTGATGTTTGTACAATTATATGCCTACAAAACAGTCTGCAAATATACCTACACAACATCATAATGGAATATATTCAGCCTCTTATTTCATCAAAATAAAATCTATATGGTTTTATTCTTATTTTTTCCACACATAATGAAAAGGATTGATTAATTATATGCCAACATGTCATTTTCAATTCCTGGTGCCACACAGATTTTCTCCATGATCTAACAGGTTAGATCCCTAATCTGTTTTTTCAAATCTGCCAATGGTGCACTCATCATCATTGTAACTCAGGATGCGTCATGCCAAAACCGTGCCCACCCCATTGCTGGCAATGGAAAAAAAGTTGCGATACATCGTGACACGTCACGTGACGTTGCAAGTTTGACACCCCTGTTGTAACTGACTGATCTTGTTGCTAGTCTTCTCTTTCCTTCCACCTTTCTCAGCATTAAAACCTTTTCCAGACTGCTAAGCCTTTGCATAATGTAGTTTGTTGTATTGGCTATTGTTTCTCAGTATTGAAGTCAAACTACCTGGAGAATACCAGGTTGGGAAAACCTGACCAAGATTCTTTATCCTGTTACCAAAATGTGATTCTCCACTGTGGCCAAATGGTTAAGACTTTAGCTCATCAACTGGAGGGTTCTCAGTTCGAGATCCAAGTACCATGTAATGGGGTGAGCTTCCATTCTTGCCCCAGCTCCTGTCAACTTGTCAGTTCAAAAGCATGCAAATCCAAGTAGATAAATAAGATCCCATTTGATGAGAAGATAAAAGCATTGGTGTATAGTCAAGCCAGCCACATGACCATGGAAGTGTCTTTAGACAAACTGGCTCCATGTGTCTTAGGATAATGTTGCAGGATCCAATCTGGTCGGTCACCAAGGCCAGAGGTTTTGTTTTCCAAGCTTCAGACTCATGCTGGAGTCCATCCTCAGGGAACTTCTCTTTACCTTTTTACCTTTAAAGAGAAATCTTTACCTTTAATAAAGAGACAACATTTTACACTTCTAAAATCTAGTATAGATTTTCAAATCCTGCCAGATGACTGCACTTAACTGAACTTGAACAGCTAAACAGGATCAGACATGGATAGCACTTTAACGGGAAATCACCAGGTGTTATCAAGAGTATAGGCTAGATTAGGAAGTCAAAACCACATCCTGAAAGAAACCAGTAACAGAGAAGTTCTGAACTGTGGCCAAGACAACTATGTGAATGAAGACCTCAGAAATCAAGTTCAACCTCAATGATAATTTTTCAAATCTTATATTTCAAATATCTAATTATATTTTCCAAATAGCACTGTAGTTATCCAGCTATGAAATATATAATTGTGTCTGTTTTCCATTAGGCCTTATCTCTCTCTTGGGACAGTAAGGATTTTTGTGATGTGGAAGACTTTTATCATCATAAAATGCTCGCTTTCTATGATAAGTGAGTATAAGCATCAGTGAAATTGTTGTTATATACCATAATGAATAGGGAGACCTTCCATCCTAATAGCTTCACACATGAAAGACTTAAAGAAAAATCTTAATCTGACCTGCCAATCAAACTTAATCTTGTCAATCCAGATAGTTGATGGACAAAGTCAGTGCCCAGGGAGATAAATGCTAGTGCCAGCAAGGAACAGGAATATTGTTCTCTCAAGTGGTTTCCAAAAAGAAGATGACAACTCCTGTTTTGTCTTTGGTGTTTTTCCTTTATGGAAAGAGCAATTGACTTTCTTTTCAGTTGGATCACTTGGCATGTAAGCAGAACCCTGACTTGGCAGTGAAATTGAGATTCAGGAAAAATGCAGTAATAAACTAATTTAAATCAGATATACATTGGAATGTAACTGTGGAGCTTAGTTTGTGTGTGTGTTTATTTCAGCCATGAGTGGAAGCACTTCCACTCATTTCCCTCCTATCTTTTGTTTTTTCAATTCCTGTTTACTTAGTATACATACATAAGAAAGACTTTAATTCATATTGAATCTGTGACTTTCATTCTAAAAAATAATCTTAGCACAAGGAAGTTATGATAAGATGGAATGAATGAGAAGAAGTTGCCACTTTGCTTGCTCCTGAGTAATTCAACATGATAGAGGATTTCTGTAGAAAAAGTTGCTAGAGGCAATATTCACTGAATAGTTGCCCTGGAAGTATGGAATGTGTAGTAGAGATAGTAAAGGATGGGCTTCAAGACATTCCCCCCTCTCTTGAGGGAACTGGAGTGCCCAACTCACAATGTCTTGTGTGTGGGTGTGTTTGCAGGCTCCCTTTTCATGTGCAGAATAATACCATCTACATGTATCACTTATTTGCAGATGCAACCTATTTTTTTATCAGAACTGTATCTGTTTCAGATGGCGTGACCCTTTAAAATTCTGACAGGGAAAAATGAAGAAAGACAGGGATGTAGTGAATTAATACCATATTTATTATAACTGTGCAAGAAGATAGTAAAGCTATAAGTAATTGTTTTACAGATTCTTGTGGTCTCTAAATGCTTTTCACACCATAACAGAAATCAACCTCTTTGATGGAGCTACATATGCAGCCAATTGTAAGAATGAATGAATGTATATAAAGCTACTTTGCTTCCTTTTGTGAGTTTCCTTTACTTTAATTGCATTATTCAGCCTATCCTTGGTTATATAACCCTGATTAGTAGTTTTAGTCTCAGAAAAAATAATAATAAACATATTTTTCCTTGGCATAGATGAGTTTACTAGATCTTACTTTGATTTCTTTACTATCTTGTAAATGTTGGATTTTGCACTTACTTGATTGGATGTAGAAAAGTGTATAAAGTACAGCGCCTTTGAAAATTATTCCCTATATTATCCAGGGTACAAGTTTAACAGTGAAAGCTGTTCATATTAGGTTTATTTCTTTTTTACTAAGAATTGGTTAATTAAGATAACTCATTTTTTGTTCTTTAATTATGTAACTCTTTAATGCATTTGTTTGTTGTATTCCTGAACTGGCAGCAAACATAACCAGAGACGTGGGACAATCAAAGAAATCATTTAGATGTGGATCTCTTGCAACATATTCTGACAATACATCCTTAGAAAGAAGAAAAGTATATACAGAAGCAGTCAGGCAATCAGCTATAGGACTTAGTGGTAAATATTGCAAAGGTTTTTGAACAGAATAAGAGTTAAGAGGGCATAATCTTTTTTTCTAGATATCGTCTTCCTATACTATATAATAATGTAGTTAGGATTGTAGGCTTCCAAGCTGTCTTTGTCAAAGGGGAAATTGATGATGGTGATGATTTATAGCAAGCACCACTGCTACAGAGACACTTAATTTCTCACAATTTTGCCCTATTTAACTATTTTACTGTGAATTTTCTATTGTTCATTGAACTATGGATATATTTGTGACTTGCCAATTACAGAAGCTGTTAGAATAATAGAAGAATCAAATCAACTTTAATTAATGTCAAAGATAAGCAAAGGAAAACCCAAATATGCATTTTATATAGTTTTTCTCTGATTTCACAGTAATTAAAGTCAATAATCTGAAGCTCCCAGGAGTATCAAAATTACAATTTCTTTTATGTCATGTTTAGATACAAATAGTTCAGCAGTGGCCTAAATGCCAGCTATTTTATGGAAAGGCAAAACTCTCTAGGGTAGGGGTGTCAAACTGCTGGCCCGTCGGCCGGTTGCATCATGTGGAGGCTGCACCCACCCCAGCTCTGGCAATGCAAAAAAACTTGTGATACATCGCAACATGTCACGTGACGTGGCAAGTTTGACACCCGTGCTCTAGGGCCAGGATCTTCTTAAAGTTCCAATGTATCCAGGAAGATGGATGTGTAGCAGAATTCCAATTGATTCTGTAATTCTTTTAGCTTATATTAAGTCACATCTTTATTCCCATCGCATGAAAAGCTTTATGGCTTTAAATAATTGTTCAGCTATCCCAGTGTAATCATACTTATTTAATGTAGCAGAAAAATTATACAATAGATTATTCACTCTTTCCTCCCTATTTATTGCTCTGTCTTTTTAAAATATGCTTGAACCCTGGCCTGATATTCTAGTGAAGAAAGACTCAAGTTCATTTTCATCAATAACACGGGGATCTGGTAATTATTACCATTATTATTAATAGTACTGCTTTTGTTAGTGACTAATTTTGTTAGTTATGATAAGCCTTCAAATTTAACATATTCAACATGTTTGAAAAATTTAACAGCTTAGAAAGGAAACCTGAGAACGTGGTGAATTCCCACATAATGCATACAGGCATTCCTCCACTTACAACCATAATCAAACCTGGCAGCTATGGTCAAAGTCATGAGGGCCATAAAGCAGATCATCACATGACTAACCTGATTTTACAACCTTTATTTGTGGTGTTTGTTAAATGACTGCCATAGTTGTTAAGCAACCGGCATGATCATTAAGAGAATACCATTGTCATTAAGCAAACCCATTATTCACTATTGTGGCTTTTGCTGGAAACAGGAAGTAAACTCCGTTTTTTGGAAAAAAATGTCATAAATCTTGCTGATGTGACTGCATGATGCTGCAAATGGCTGTAAATGTGAGATGGTTGCTGAGTGCCCAAAGTGTGGTCATGTGACTGCAGAATGGCCAAGCTATTGGAATTATGGACTCTGGTTGTAAGTAGTTTTTGGTAGGTCCATCATAACTTAAAATGGTTGCTAAGTGATTGACATAAATCAAAGATTACTTTAGTTTAATCAATACCATTATACAGCACAAAGTCTACAGTTTCTCATACATTTGACTAGATTATTGTATGGTCAGAAGTTCCATTGAATTTATCACATCTTGAAGACTATAATGAATGTATCACTTAAATTTTAAGGAAGCCACCAATAAAAATCCTCACAAGAACAATTATTTGGAATAACAAATAATTCATTTATGATTTATGGTAAACATTATCTCAGGTGTATGCAAGAATAGGGCAAGGGAAATTAATCTAGAATGGGAAATCTAGAGTTTTTGTATTTATTCATTTGACTCAGCCTTCCATCCTTCTGAGGTTAGTAAAATGAGGACCCAGATTGTTGGGGGCAATATGCTGACTATATAAACCACTTAGAGAGGGCTGTAACGCACTGTGAAGCAGTATATAAGTCTAAGTGCTATTGCTATTAAATATATATAAGTATGAAATGAATCTTATTAAAGGGGTTATTCTTTCTCCTACCAAAAACAATCCTTTCTAAGAAATAGGCAAATGATTGGATATATTTTTAATTGATTAAAATATTTAGATCTGTTTTATCAAGAGTATAAAGAAAGGTTAAGGTTTCCTCTGCCCAGTCTGTCTGACTCTATATGGCAGTGCCCATCTCTGTTTCTTAGCCGAGGAAGCCATTTTTCAGTGTAAATTAATGTGAGAGACTTGATTCATAACACCACCCCACTTTGCATCTTAAGAAGACAGAACTCTTGGAATAATTCTTCCAAAGAAGAAGTGGTTGCAGGCGTGCTAGACAGGACATGGGGTCCACGCCCTCCCATTCAAGGTTTTAAGAGGTTCCCCAGTAGTCCCACCCAATCAACCCCCCTTCCAGTGATAGTTTCAGGCATCACAATTCCACCCCCTTTTTTCTTTCTTCCGTCTGGATGGAGACTTCAGATAAACTACATGAAAGGCAAATAACCTTCTTTGTTCTGGTAAGGTTCTTTGGTGCTAATGCTTTGAGGTTACAATAAACACACATTCAGCATTCAACTCCTTAGAAGTATACTGAAGGAAGTGAGGGCCATAAAGCCCCTTTGTTCTCCCCCTTCTCTCCCTCTTATGGCAGAATCCAGAGAAGGCAGAATTGGGAGTTTCTATATTTGATAATTAAAGATGAAATATAATTGGATTCTGACATCCGGCCCCTCTTAAAAATAAGAGAGATCCACCTGAAAGAAAACAAAACAAGTATAAAATTTAGTCAGGCTTGTTAGGATACTCTGTGTGAAACTTCTTCAATAGCTTCGGGGCTCTGACATGACGTTTATGGACCCACTCATTTTGTGAGGGAGGGAGGTGTTTCCAGGCAACTAGGTACTGAGTTGCTCCATGATATCTCCTAGAATCAAGGATTTCCTTTATTTCGAAGTGTTGTTCACCCTCCACCATGATTGGAGGTGGTGGGGGGGGGATTTTTGGCCGTAGAGGTGACTGATGCTCTCTTTTCAGCAAGCTGCAATGAAAAATTGGGTGTATTTGCCTGAGATTTTTGGGTAATTCTAATTCTACTGTTACTGGATTTATGATTCTTTTAATTGGAAAAGGTCCTATATATTTTGGTCCAAGTTTTTTACAGGGCTGTAGGGACTTTAGGTATTTTGTAGATAAGTACACCATTTCTCCTATAATGAATGGTGTAGGCTCAACCCTTTTTTTATCGGCTTGTGCTTTGTATGCCTGCCTAGCTTCATCTAGTGCTTTTCTAACTATTGGCCAGGTGTTTTGTAATTTTTTCATCCATTCTTTCAGTGAAGGGATCGTTGGTTCGTTTGGGGTTAACTCTGGCATGTGGTTGAAACTTTGACCGGTGGCTACTTGAAAAGGAGTGTAACCTGTGCTGGAGTGGACTGCATTATTGTAGGCAACTTCTGCAAAAGGGAGTAAGTCTGCCCACTCGGTTTCCTGCAAACTAAGAAAACATCTTAAATATTGCTTAAGTACGGAGTTCATTTTTTCAGCCCCCCCATTTCCTTGTGGGTGGTCGCTAGATGTCAGTCCCTGAGTGGTTCCTAAGAGGGATAAAAATTCCTTCCAAAATGCAGACGTAAATTGCACCCCCCTGTCAGAGATGATGCGTTGGGGTGCCCCATGCAATCTGTAAATGTGCTGGATGAAAAGTTTTGCTAAGGCTTTTGCAGTGGGAATCTTTTGGCAAGGGATAAAGTGCACCTGTTTGGAAAACAAGTCCGTGACCGTCCAGACCACAGTATTCCCATTGCTTTCTGGCAATTCCACTATAAAATCCATGGCTATTTCTCTCCAGGGGGCTGAGGGACTTGCCACTGTTTGCAATAGTCCTGGCAATTTCCCTTGCAACCTCTTTGCCGTGGCACATTTTGGACAACTGGCTACATAACTTTCTATGTCCTTTTGAATGGATGGCCACCAAAATTGTCGTTTAATTAAATGTAAAGTTTTTACAAATCCAAAATGCCCTGCTGATTTTGTGTCATGGCAAAGCTGCATGAAAGTGACTCTTTGAGTTGTTGGTATATATAATTTTTCCCCTACCCAAGGCAACCCGTCTTTCATTGTGCACACATTTTTGTTTTTCTAGAACCATTCATCTGTTTCCAAACTTTTTCTGAATTAAATTCCAGTTTGGCTGTCCAGTTGTGGTTTTAATTTGGCTTGGGTTCTTGTGGTTACTGGTACTCCTTCATTGTTTTCTTGTAATAGAACAGCCCCCACTGCCACATCACTCGCATCTGCCTGTATTACGAAGGGCTTGTCCATGTCTGGGTGCCTTAGTACTGGTTCGGCAGAAAAAAGTCTCTTTAGTCTCTCAAAGGCTGCTTGGCACTCCATTGTCCATGTTAGTGGCTGGCTAGGTTTTACTGAGGATGTTCCCTTCGTTTTTAGCAAGTTAGTGAGGGGCAAGGCTATCTGGGCAAATGAGGGGATGAATTGGCGGTAAAAGTTTGCAAAACCCAGGAAGCTTTGTAGTTGCTTTCTTGTGCGGGGTGGTGCCCAATCTAATACTGCTTTGACCTTCTCTGGGTCCATTTCAATGCCCTGGGGGGATATGCGATAACCTAGGTAGTCTATCCTTTCCTGGTGGAATTCGCATTTTGAGAGTTTGGCATATAGGTGGGCGGCTCGCAGCTTCTTTAAAACCGCTCTGACAAGGTTGACGTGTTCCTCTTTTGTTTCAGTAAAGATAAGAATGTCGTCCAAGTAAACAAGGACCCCCTTAAACAGGTGCTCCCTTAGAACGTCATTGATTAATTGCATAAAGACTGCAGGGCCCCCTTGTAATCCAAATGGCAAGACTTTGAATTGATAGCACCCCATGGGGCAGTTAAATGCAGTCTTCCATTCGTCCCCTTCCTTAATTCTCACGCGATAGTAAGCTTCCCTTAGGTCTAGTTTAGAAAAATTTTCCCTTTCGATAGGTGTGACAGCATGTCTTTCATGAGGGGCAGAGGGTATAGGTTGCTTTCACTGATTGTATTCAGGGCCCTATAATCCACGCATAAGCGTAAAGAGCCATCCTTCTTCTTTCTAAAAAGGACCGGGGCAGCCACTTTAGGCTTGGCTGGCTCAATGAAACCTCTCTCTAGGTTTTTTTTTTATAAATCTTTCCATTTCCTCCTTCTCCTTTGGGCTCATGGAGTATAATCTGGGCTTCGGGAGTTTTGCCCCAGGCTTGAATTCAATGGTGCAGTCTGTGGGTCGGTGGGGAGGGGAGCTCATTCGCCCTTTCCTCACTGAAGACTTCAGCAAGGTCTCTATATTCCTCTGGTATTTCTGTTAATCTTTTTTCCTCTCCTATGGATGCTTTTTCTATTCTTGATTCTGGTAGCCTCCCTTGGGGTTTTAAGGGTCCCCCTTTGGGAATTTGATTTCTGTCGTCCTCCAATTTACCCAGGGGTTCCATTTTTTCAACCATTCCATCCCTAGAATCATTGGGCATTCCATACCTGGGGTCACCACAAACGTTATGTCCTCTTCATGTTTGCCCAGGGAGAGGTGTATTGGTAGAGTGGCTAGGGTAGCTGGCACCCCCCCTGCTATGGATCCATCTAACTGGCCAAATGAGATTGGTTGTTCCAGTCTCCTGGATGGGATGCCCAGATTCCCCACTAGTGTTGGGCTAATGAGGCAGCAGGTGCAGCCAGAGTCTATTAAGGCTTTCACCTTCACAGCTTCGGGCATGGGAGGGATTAATATAGTCACTGTTTTGAAGATGGGTGTGATGCATCCACTTACCAGGGGTTCGCCCTCCGAGCTGTCATCTGAGGCATCCACCGTCCCTGTGGTGTAGGCTGGAGTTCTTTCCCCTTGGTGAGCAGAGGTGGGGGGTTCTGCAATTTCCATCATTCTCATGGCCGTTTCTTTTGGCTTAGCTGAAGACTTTCCAGATTTGTTGATTGGGGATCTGTCTGGGTTGTGCTGGGGGGCCTTTGAGCGGCATTCTACAGCTCGATGCCCTTCTCTTCCGCACTTGAAACACCCCATTTGCTTCTTGGCTGTAGCCGATGATTTCACCGGTTCGTGCATCAGCTCAGGCGGGGGGGCGGCTCCATTGTTTTCCTCGCCGGTGCCTCTTCAATATGTCGATCTCTGCTTCCTCTGCCAAGACGTACCATTCCTCAAGTTGGTGTGGGTTCCCTTGGGGCAGGCAAGTGTCATATAGATCATAGTTTAGTCGGTCTTTGAAATGGCTAAGGAGGATGTTTTCTGGCCAATTCAGTTTGCTGGCAATGGCCCGGAATTCTTGTGTATATTCAGCCACCGGGCGTTTGCCTTGCCTCATCGTTTTTATCCTTTCACGGGCTTTGCGATCAGCCAGGGGGTCTTCAAATCGTCTTCTCAAAGAGGACATGAAACGGTTGAAGTTACTGAGTTCTGGGGCATTGGAGTCATGCAAGTTCACCACCCAATCTGCAGCCGGTCCATCCAGGGCAGATTGCACGATCCGGATGCGGGCTTTGTCGCTGGGAATGTCCTGCCCGTATTCCTCCATGTAGCTGAGGACTTGGGTTAGGAAAAACCCCAAGCGTGTTGGCTCCCCTTTGAATTTCACCTCCAACGGTGGACGTCTTGGAATGGATCGGTGCCTCCGTTGTGGTGGTAGTGTCTTCCGTCCAGATTGCCATCTGTGGTCCGGTAGGGGGTGGGGGCTACTGGATCAGTAGATGTCCCCGGGGTTGCAGGTTCCACGTCCCCCTCGGTGTCTCTCCCTTTGCGGCTCCAGGAGCTGGGGCGGCCGTAGGGCTCAGGATTCTCCTCTCCTAGGGAGCTGAGAGTTCTCTTCATCAGGTCAATAGGATCTCTAGGATCCAGTCTGAGTACAGTGCCCAGCTTCCTCCCTCTTCACTTGCGTGCAGGGATTTCTCCATCTCCTGCTTCCATTCTGGTTGCTTGGTCCCCCATCTCAGGGTCACCTTTCTTGATTCCTTTCCCCACTCACTTTTCTTTCCAACGCCCATTGACCAGCGAGGCTTGTGGTCCCGTGTCTCCACCACTTCTTCCCCTGAGGAATCTGACCTCTCGGATCCCAACATCTGGCAAGGTTCCAACTGGGTCAGCGGCTCTCTTTCCAGGGAGTTTTTCCCCTCTCTTGCTCCATTGTCTGACATGGTAAATTTTTTGCAAAATCCCCCGGCAAGGGTCTCCCTTCCAGGTGGATTAATTTTGCAAGTCCTGTCTAATGTAAGGACCCACCCCACTTTGCATCTTAAGAAGACAGAACTCTTGGAATAATTCTTCCAACAGGAATCCTTTATTAAGAGAAGTGGTTGCAGGCGTGCTAGACAGGACTTGGGGTCCAAGCCCTCCCATTCAAGGTTTTAAGGGGTTCCCCAGTAGTCCCACCCAATCAACCCCCCTTCCAGTGATAGTTTCAGGCATCACAATTCCACCCCTTTTTTCTTTCTTCCGTCTGGATGGAGACTTCAGATAAACTACATGAAAGGCAAATAACCTTCTTTGTTATGGTAAGGTTCTTTGGTGCTAACGCTTTGAGGTTACAATAAACACATTCAGCATTCAGCTCCTTAGAAGTATACTGAAGGAAGTGAGGGCCATAAAGCCCTTTTGTTCTCCCCCTTCTCTCCCTCTTATGGCAGAATCCAGAGAAGGCAGAATTGGGAGTTTCTATATTTGATAATTAAAGATGAAATATAATTGGATTCTGACATTTATACACATATACAGACACATACATATATAAGTATTTTACAGGTAGTCCTTGACTTACAATCACAATTGAGCCCAAAATTTGTGTTGCTAAGTGATATATTTGTTAAGTGAGTTTTGCCCCATTTTATGACCTTTCTTACACAGTTGTTAAGTGAATCACTGCAATTAAGTTAATAACACGGTTAAGTGAATCTGACTTGATTTTGCTTGTCAGTCGCAAAAGGTGATCACATGACTCAAAGACGCTTTAACCATCATAAATATGAATCAGTTGCTAAGTGTCTGAATTTTGGTCATGTGATCATAGGGATGCTGTAATAGTTGTAAGTATAAAAATGGTCATAAATCACTTTTTCAGTGCCTTTGTAACTTTGCATGGTCATTAAATAAACTGATGTAAGTTGAGGACTACATATATACAGTATTTGTATATTCATTTGAAGTACTAGCATGCTAATTGTGGAATTTCCTCCCTAGGGATGGGGGATTAGTTCCCTATATTGATTTAGAAGGGAAGAAAGACTATACTATTTTATATGTATTACTGTTCCTCAGTTTGAGAGCCACTTTCAAATTTCTCTGTATAAGAATTCTTCTCTTTAATTTTATAAGGCACTTTTAGTATATTTTTAAATTGTATTTTCCTGGGCACATGCTAATTTGAAAGGTGTAATATATAAACTTATTTCATAAATAAATATAAAGGTGTTATTTTATTTGTCATTGCTTTGTTAATACATCATAACATTTACTCTTTTTTTTATATCCGAATCTGTGCTTAGGGAAGAAAGATTTGAGTTCATCATTAACATGGGGATTTGGTAATTATTTTTTCTTATAACTTTTTTTAAAAAAATCTTTCATAATGTAGCAATATTGTGATTGTTTCTTTGGCTCTTCCTTCTTATTCTCTTCCTGTTGTTATGATCAACTTTAAAATAATTTGCAGAGTTTGTCTTATAATGTTTAGTTAGACCAGTGGTTCTCAACCTTTTTAATGCAGCGACCCCAACCGGTCGTAAGTCGAGGATTACCCAACCGGTCGTAAGTCAAGGACTACCCAACCGGTTGTAAGTCGAGGACTACCCAACTGGTTGTAAGTCGTGGACTTTCCCTGCCCGGGAGCACCGTGCATACGTGGTGCCGCCCCCTGCGCCGGCTGAAGTGTAGCTGGCAAGAGGCAGCGACGGCGCAGGGTGACCACCGGCTGGGCCACCAGCTGGCCCAGCCCAAGGGAGGTAAGGCACCCGCCGGGCCCCACACGCGCCAGCAACCCTCCCTGCGCCTGCCGACCTCCCACCTCCCAACCCTGGCCCTCTTTTACTTACATTTTTAGTAGTTGCTCAGCAGGGAGGGGTTGAAGCTTCTAGACAGCTTGCCTTCACTGCAGACAACTTGCAGCATCGTTTGCAGACTGGGGGTTTTGGTGGGCCCAGCAGGGCAGAAACAGCCTGGACAATTCCTATTGGCTTTTGAAAGCCAATAGAATTAGACTCTATTCAAGAGAGTCTATTCTATTGGCTTTCAAAAGCCAACAGAATAAAAGGGAGTAGAACAGCTAAGGAAAAGGGGGAAAAATGGCGGACTATGTTGTTTGGCAACCCCTGTGAAATGGTCGTTCGACCCCAAATGGGGTCACTACCCACAGGTTGAGAACCGCTGAGTTAGACCTTGCAGAAGGAACACAAGAATGTGCACCACATTTATTATACATACATTATACATCATACATTATCAGCACATGGTGGGAATCCATATATCAAAAGGCAAACTGAAATTTATGTACAGTTAATCTTATTTATTTATTTATTTATTTATTTTCAGTGTTTATATGCCGCCCAATCCCAAAGGACTCAGGCGTACAAAGTTAAAACAATGATAAAACAATAAAATAAAGCAGTCATACTGCAAGTCCGATCATATCCCGCCCCCCCGGGGACATCAGCCCCAGGCCTGCCGGAACAGGAGGGTTTTAACAGCCTTCTTAAAGGCCGGCAGGGTGGGAGTAGTTCGAACCTCGGGGGGAAGTTGATTCCACCAGGTCGGAGCCACCACAGAAAAGGCCCTTCCCCGAGGGCCCGCCAGCCGACATTGTCTGGGCGACGGGACCTGAAGGAGGCCCAATCTATGGGACCCCACCGGTCTCTGGGAGCTGCGCGGCAGAATGCGGTCCTGTAAGTAACCTGGCCCTATGCCATGAAGGGCTTTAAAGGTGATAATCAACACCTTGAATTGCGTCCGGAGACCCACAGGAAGCCAGTGCAGCTCGCGGAGGATAGGTGACACGTGGGCGTACCTTGGCGCGCCCACAATCGCTCTCGCGGCTGCGTTCTGAACCAACTGCAGCCTCCGAACACTCTTCAAGGGTAGCCCCATGTAGAGCGCGTTACAGTAATCCAGTCTTGGGGTGACAAGGGCATGAGTGACTGTGAGTAAAGCCTCCTGGTCCAAATAAGGCCGCAACTGGTGCACTAGGTGAACCTGTGCAAAGGTCCCCCGGCCACAGCCGATAGATGTTGTTCCAGATTTAGCTGTGAGTCCAGGAGGACACCCAAGTTGCGTGCCTGCACTGAGGGAGGTAAATTTGCCCCCCCCAGGACTAAAGATGGACCATCCAGTTGGCCTTTGGGAGGCAAGACCCAGAGCCACTCGGTCTTGTCAGGGTTGAGTCTAAGCCTGTTCACCCCCATCCAGACCCTCACATCTTCCAGGCACCGGCACATCACGTCGACTGCTTCACTGAAAGGACACGGGGTGGAGATATATAATTGGGTATCATCCGCGTACTGATGATACCTCACCCCGTGTCGCCGAATGATCTCACCCAGCGGTTTCATGTAGATGTTAAAAAGGAGGGGGACAGGACCGAGCCCTGAGGCACCCCATGATCGAGGCGCCTAGGGGTCGATCTCTGTCCACCCGCCAACACCGACTGCGACCTGTCAGAGAGGTAGGAGGAGAACCACCGCAATACGGTGTCGCCCACCCCCACCTCTCCGAGACGACGCAGAAGGATACCATGGTCGATGGTATCGAAAGCCGCTGAGAGCTCAAGAAGCACCAGGATAGAGGAGTGACCCCTATCCCGGGCTCGCCAGAGGTCATCGGTCAGTGCGACCAAAGCAGTCTCAGTGCTGTAGCCGGGCCTGAAACCAGATTGAAAAGGGTCCAGATAATTGGTTTCATCCAAGGATCGCAAGAGTTGAGATGCCACCACCTTCTCTACAACCTTCCCCACAAAGGGGAGGTTGGAGACGGGACGAAAGTTCTTCAAAACAGCTGGGTCCAGGGAAGGCTTCTTGAGGAGGGGCCTCACCACCGCTTCCTTTAAAGGTTGCGGTAAAGACCCCTCCATCAAGGAAGCATTGATTATCGCCTGGAGCCAGCCTCGTGTCACCTCCCTACTGGCAGAAACCAGCCAGGAGGGGCACAGGTCCAATAAACAGGTGGCGGCATTCATTGCCCTCACGGCCTTGTCCACTTCATCAGGGGTCACAGGCTCAAACTCGCTCCAGATAATATGACTAAGACCAGCCCCTGGCAACTCGGCTGGCACTGTCCAGGTCCCTCTGAATCTGAGCGATTTTGTCCGAAAGAAACTGAACAAACTCCTCAGCTCTCCCCTGCAAGGGTTCCTCCGCCTCCTCCACTTTAAGAAGGGAGCGGGTCACCCTAAACAAGGCGGCCGGCGAGATTCTGCGGACCCAATAAGTGCGGAAAAGTGAACACGCTTTGCCGCTCTTATCGCCACTAAATAAGTCCTAAGATAGGCTCTTAATAGTGATCGGTCAGATTCAGAGTTACTGGCCCTCCAACGTCGCTCTAGACGTCTCTTGTGGCGCTTCATCTCCCGGAGCTCCTCAGTAAACCAAGGCGCCCTCCGGGGACCACCACCACAGAGAGGTCGCAAAGGCACAATTCGATCCAGGGCCCCGGACGCCGCCTCATTCCAGGCCGCAACCAGGGACCCGGACGAGTTGTGGACAAGGGAGTCAGGTATTTCCCCAAGCTCCTCCTGGAACCGATCTGGGTCCATTAGGCACCTGGGGCGGAACCACCTAGTCGGCTCCCTCTCCCTGCGATGGGGGAGTGATGCTCTGAAGTCCAGCCTCAATAGGAAATGATCTGTCCATGACAAGGGCGAGATCTCTATTCCCCTTAATTCCAGATCATGTCTCCATTGCCCCGAGAGAAACACAAGGTCGAGTGTGTGACCACCCCTATGGGTCGGATCCTGAATTACCTGGGTCAGGTCCATGGTTGCCATGGAAGCCATGAACTCCTGCGCCGCCTCTGAGCGATCGCCGAGTGATGGTAGGTTAAAGTCCCCCAGTACTATAAGTCTGGGGAACTCCACCGCCAACCTGGCTACTGACTCCAGCAACGCAGGCAGGGCTGTTGCAACGGAGCTGGGAGGTAGGTACGTCAGCAGCAAGCCCAACTGAACCCGTGAACCCAACTTCAATAGGAGGGACTCACACCCAACAACCTCCGGGGCAGGAATCCCACGAGGACTCAAGGACTTCCGAGCGATGACTGCCACTCCCCCACCCCTGCCCTGATGTCGAGGCTGATGAAGCACCACAAACCCGTCCGGGCACATCTCCGAGAGGGAAACACCCCCCTCAGGGCCCAGCCAGGTTTCGGTTATACATGCCAGGTCCGCCCCGCTGTCCAATATTAAATCACGGACAAGGGGGGCTTTGCTGACAACGGACCTGGCATTAAGCAACAGCAGCCTACAATTAGGGCCCTGTACTCCCCTGTCACCAGTACTACAGGATGAGCCTTTTGAGGGGCCGGAACAAGGAATCGCTCTAACATAGCGAGTCCTCGTTCCCCAAAGATGGCCTGCCCCTCGGCTCCCGCCATATCTGCCCATCCCAGTCATGACCAGGATGCTCCGACCTTCTCCCCTCCCCGGAGTACCCCCACCCTCACCAGCCTTCTCCCTTCCTGAGCGGACTCGCTTTCCATACAGACCAAGCCCAAGGGTAAGTCCTCCCCCCCCTACTTTTGCTATTGCACTCAGCAGAGGGCGTACCAGGCTCCACCCCCGACTCCACCATTCTCATACCCCAAACACTCAATACACATTCACACTCAATTTATATACATAGAAAATAAAAATGTTCACATTCATACGCCCTAAATACAATAATAAAATTTACACATAACAGGGCCATCATTCATCTACATGCATACTCACACCCACAACAAACATTCTCTAAAAATTAGTATTGCCCCTCTGTGTTCCAGCATATAAGAACACTTATTTTGAAACAAATATAGAAATCAATTAATTTTGAGATTGTTCAAAGGATGCTTAGATATAAAAATCTGCTGACTAGACCAAATGTCCATTCTCCATAGAAGATGAAGAACCAAAGACTTATGAAGCAAATGGAACCAGGAAATATTCAAAGAAACCATCAAAGCCAGTAGACTGGGTTTTGTGAAGAATGAATCGACTTTCATGGTAAGATGGTCACTTGGGGTAAAGAAAGGTGTAGTACAGAACAAAAATGTGTTGAATGTAAATCCAGTGAAGGGATGTAAAAGGAATCTCTTGAATTGATACTGGCTATCATTTATTTATTTATTTATTTATTTATGAGACTTATATACCGCTTTAAGTGCAAGCACTCTCTAAGCGGTGTACACCAGTAAGCAATGTATATATATATTTACATTGCCCCCAACAATCTGAGTCCTCATTTTACCTACCCCTTCAAAATAGGCATTGTCAATGTATAAATCACTAGCTCGCTCCTCTAGTGCAATATCTGGATTCCTGAGATCTGTGTTTTCATAATGCATGACAACACTTAACAAGGGTTTCAAATTCCTTTGTGTATAATATATGTTGGGAGGGGGAAGATGGAATTGGAATAGCTGTTTTTCAAAAAGACATGAAGAAGATTAAATATGAAGCTAAAAATAATATTGGAAAGATTCAGCAATTTCTTTTTAAAAATAAAATTGGGTCAATTATCTAGAAAGATTATTGAGTGGTATGATGGGCTAGTGGTGAAGATGCTTGCCTCCCACTCATAAAGTTGAGAGTTGAATCCTAGTCAGCCACAGATGTTTCCATATCAGGATGAAAAGAGAAAATATCTGCTGCAATTTCCACGTAGGGATCAGGAAGGGCATCTGGCTAGTAAATGCTCAGCTCCATTCAATCTCCCTGACTCTACCCCTGACTCTACTCTACTCTATCTTCTTTCTAGTATTTTTAGTGAAGGTTAAAAAGAATAGATGAAATTCTAAAAAAGTAAATCTACTAAAATTCCTTTGACAGTTTCAGAATATATTAGGATTATAATTTTGTTCCTAAAAATATGTTTTCTTTTTGCCAGATGTTAAGAAGAATTCTTAGGATTTGTGCAGTGCTCTTTCACAATGTAATGTCAACATAATAAAGATATAAAGTCATAGAGGTATAAACAGCTGTTTGTGGGCACAAAGAAAATTGTTTACAATAAAAGGAACAATCAGCATCATCAAGTATTTGGTCAATTATATTAACACAGAAACAGAATGCAATCTGTGTTGACAGCAAACCTTTTTATAATGATATATTTACACCATGTGCATCTTATTGCTTCTCACAATGCAACGAGACACATGAACAAGCTATATAATCATGAACCGAAATAAATCATTGCATGGAAGAATAGATCTGAGACATTTCTAATTATTTCAAGACTTCTCTTTTGAAATGATAGTGACAATTAGTGGTTTAATTCTTGTTTCTTGAATTGATATTACTTCTTTCATATACATCTTATAGAGTGCATATTAGCAATCAATCAGAATAAAGCTGAAAAGGACCTTGGAGATCTTCTAGTCCAAAGGTCTCCAAACTTTTGGGCACAGGGACTGATTGCATGAAGAGAGGGTGTGTGGTTGTAAGGACCCACCCCACTTCGCATCTTAAGAAGACAGAACTCTTGGAATAATTCTTCCAACAGGAATCCTTTATTAAGAAGAAGTGGTTGCAGGCGTGCTAGACAGGACTTGGGGTCCAAGTTCTCCAATTCAAGCTTTTAAGGGTTTCCCCAGTAGCCCCACCCAATCAACCCCCTCTTTCAGCGACAGTCTCGAGCATTACACTTCCACCCCCCTTTTCATTATTGCCTGGCTGGATGGAGACTTCAAAGAAACTACATGAAAGGAAAACAGCCCCATTCTTATGGTTAGTTCTTTTGCAATACACACATTCAGTTCCTTAGAAGTATACTGAAGGAAGTGAGGGCCATAAAGCCCCTTTGTTCTCCCCCTTCTCTCCCTCTTATGGCAGAATCCAGAGAAGGCGGAATTGGGGTTTTCTATATTTGATAACTGGAGATGAAGTATAATTGGATTCTGACAGTGGTTTTGTATGTTGTCTGCATCTTGCAAATGGGGCTTTGCTTGTTTGTGTGGCCTGGTTGCTGGTATGCTGCGGCCTGGTATTGGTCCATGGACTGGGGGGTTGGGGATTCCTGTTCTAGTCCAACCCCCTGCTCAAGCAGAAAACCATATATCATTTCAGACAAGGAGCTGTCCAAACTCTTCTTAAAAACCTCCACTGATAAAGCACCCACAACTTCTGATGGCAAGCTGTTCCACTGGTTTATTGTCCTTATTGTTAGGAAGTGTCTCTTTAATTCCAGGTTGCTTCTCTCCTTGATTAGTTTCCAACCACTGTTTCTTCTTCTGCCATCTGGTGCTTTGGAAAATTATTTGACCCTCTTCTCTTTGTGGCAGCCCCTCAAATATTGGACTACTGCTATCATATCCCCCCTAATCCTTCTTTTCTCTAGACTAGCCAAACCCAAACTGCAACTAGTCTTCATGTTTTAGTCTCTAGGCCTTTAATCATCTTAGTTGCTCTTCTTTGCACTTTTTCCAAAGTCTCAACGTCTTTTTTATAATGTGGTGACCAAAACTGGGTGTAAGACTGACGCAAAGTATGAGTTAAACAGCTCTTTCTCCCTGTTGCCTGTAATTTCTTTGCCATTTTCTCTCTTTAGTGGGCCTACAGTTTCCTTGACTTATTTCTTGTTATTAATATGTTGAAAGAAACTTTTTTTTATTATCCTTGATTTCTGTTGCAAGTCTTCGTTCATTCTGAGCCTTTGCTTTCCTGACTTCATCTTTGCATGTTTTGGCTGTCTGCTGATAATCGGCCTTGGTTATGTGCCCCTCTTTCCATTGTTTGTATTTGTCCTTTTTGTCTTTCAGTTAGAGAGATCTTTGTACAGCTATGCTGGTTTTTTTCTTGGATTTCTTTTTCTTTTTCAGTGGTATTATACTCAGCTTTTATGATCGCATTTTTCAGAGTTTCCCATGCTTCTTGGGTTGTTTTCCCCTTTAGGATTTTAATCCATGGGATCTTTCCTAGGTTCTCTTTGAGTTTGTTGAAGTCAGCTTTTTTATGCCTGTTCATGGGTAAGTTTCCTACATCTCCTGATTGTTGTTTTGAGTTTTTCTTTTTTCTCATCTCTGCCCACCTCATTGTTTGATTTGTTTTCTTGGGATTTAAGATTGGTTTTATGTTCTAGAGATTCTAATGATTGGCCACCCTCTCCCCTCAGTTTTAATTTAAAGCCCTCCTGATGAGTTGCCAGTCTAGAGGCATTGCAGAAGAATTGTGTTGTCTATGGTGGCAAAAAAAAAAAAAAAATCAGAAAATGTCTGTTGGCCTCTTTTTTGACTAACACGTTTTTAAAGAAGCATACACTTTTGCTGGCTACAAATTTGGCTTTTTAATAAAATGTATTAGTTGGAAAAAGTGCTACTGGACTAGTTTTAATTAATGTAGTAAGTTATGCTGATGGAGGTTTGTAATTTATAGTTTTAGTCTATATGACATATTTTATAAGCATAGGACTTCCAATAATTATTGCACTGAATGGATTTTTAAAAATCATGTTATGATTTTCTTTTTAAAAAATTATTTTCCAGTACCTAGTTTTTTCTGTTTATAACCAAAATATTTCTCCAGCACCAATATTCTATTCAGGCAGCTGCTTTCTATCTTGTATAATACAGTTCAAAAAGATCCACCTATTAAATTGCAATTCCTTATTTCTGATATTTTCCAATATGAGTTTCTCCTGATTCCTAATAGAAGAAAGGTAGTTGAAAACAAGAAAGAGATGAGTTTCTCTCATCTAAGAATTTGCTCTAAAATTCAGACACTCTACAATTAATTTACTGCATTTCCACTAATTTTTTTTTGTCAGATTCACGGTGAAAAAATTATATTTTGCCAAAACATTATTAATGCCCTGAACATTATAACATTCTAGTGTTTTGTTCTCATTCTGAATATTCTGAGTATGCTGAATCTTGCACTAAATGTTATTCAATGAAACTGTATAAACATATATATTAAGAAACTTAATTGCAATTCTGAATTTAATAAACATAATAATGACTGAATCAAGTTTGTATTCAAAACCCAGCCAAGGTTTTAAGAAAAGTTGATTATTCATTGGCTGATTTAAAAATATTTTCCAGACTTCCGGTTCCAGTTTGCGGCATCACTAGTTGTACGGGGAGACTTCTCTCCTCGTCGGCTAGGTTTTCCTCCTTCAGTGGACCCTTATACAGGTCCAAAGTTGCACTGGAGGGTGCGACTTCCATTGAGGAGGCTGCTGTCCGGCTGTGGAGCAGCGGCGGCTCCTCCAACTGTCCGGACGAATCTCCAAGAGCCGATGGAGAAGAAGATCGGCCAGTAAATGGCTGATCGCCCTGCCGCTTCAGACCGTAAGTCAGACAACATCTAAGCTCTGAGTGCCCCCGTGGTGAATCTGGGTGAGAATTTTTTCTTGTTTTTTCTCTCTTTTCTGATTTTTTTGTTTGTGTACTTGTAAGAGCCTCTGGAATTATTTCCCTGGCTTGGAAAGGTGGCTTCTGCTTTTTTGGGGGAAGAAAGGCATTTTACAAACACTGAAAGACTATTTACTTCTATTTGGATACTAAAAAGGAAAAAAAGATGGAAAAGGTTTTCTCTCTCCTCTCTTTTTAAGAACTGTACCATTTCATTCATGTACGTATGTGTGTATGTGTGTGTGTGTGTGTGTATATATATATATATATATATATATATATATATATATATACACACACACACATACACATACACACACATACACATATATATATATAATACTTCAAAGACAGAAAAAAGGAATTGATTTTGGGAAAAAACTTTCTTAACTCACTGATGGCATCTAGTGGCGAAAGTTTAATACTGCAACTTTGCTTATTTTTCTATTGAATTTCAAAATACTAAAGATAAGCTGTGCACCTATGAAGCTCTGGGGATGTATGTTTTTTGTATTAAATATAGCCTTCACAAAAAAGAAAAAGAGATCTTCTTTTAAGCATTAGTATTAAAATGGAGAGACCTCAGTTACAACTGAACTGTGCACTTATATTGGAAAAGATTTATGAGGCTACTGCAGAAATATGTGCTACAATTAAAAACTCTACCTTAGAATTAAGCTCCAGAGACTCTACTACATTTGCTCAAACTGATGCTCAGGCTACAACTGACTATGGCATAAATCAAAATGTACCAGAAGAGGATTCTGCAGAGATAGAAGAGGAATTTACTTCATCTGACAACCCTTTCTTCAGCAACTTAGAGAACCAGAAGGAGCAGAGACCAAGATTTTTAACTACAAAGCAACTACGTTCCAAGAAGAACAGGAAAAGATGTTTACTGCAGAGGAAGGGATTTATATTTTCTCAAAGACCACTACAAGCAACAAGAATGGATTTATTGGTTGAAAGGTTAAAAAGACGTTTACTTCAGAGGAAGGGACTTATATTCCTTCAAAGATTACTACAAGCAACAAGAATGGATTTATTGGTTGAAAGGGAAGCACTTTTATGGAAGCCTGTGTGGCATAGAAAGAAACCCAGAATTAGACTTAAAAAGAAATTCAAAAATGTTTAATGGAGTAAAAAGCAATGCTGATTTTATGGATTGTTTTAAGGATAATAATCTAAAGTTAGAAGTAAAAAAAATGCTATTATATTCATGTGTGTTTAAATTAGTTAGATGATTTTTTTTTTGAAAGTCTATTAAGGATAGAAAATATATAATCATATACATACAGATATATATGTTCTGGAATTGAAAAAATGTTCAGTTATGGAAATGGAATTTTGAAATGCTTAAATTGTTTAAGTGATTTTTGATAATAATATCTGATAAAGTATGATTATTAATTGGATGGAATTTGAAGTTTGTGTAATGAATTGAAAGGATTTTTCTTTCTTTCTTTTTCTCTTTCTTAATTAAGTTAGTTACAATTATATACATATGTGGTTTTTTTGTTGTATCGAAATTTGTTTGGAAAAAAGAACCTTGGCTTTATGGATTGTATTAAGGATAAAAAATATATAATCGAGTATGTGTGTGTGTGTGTGAGTGTGTGTGTGTGTGTGTATATATATACACACACACACACACGCACACGCACACATTTAATGATGTCCATAAAAATGCGACTCCCGGGCATATTTATAATAAAAATAAATAGCATACGACCACCAGGAGAATTTAAGTATAAAAAATACTTTACTAAAACCACCAAGCTTTCGTTGGGAACTCCCAACATCATCAGGGCTAAAAGCCAGTTAACAAGGATGACTTAAATAGGTTTGGCTGACATTTTCAGCCGGCTCCTGGACCACATCACTGGCCCTGGTCTGTCAATTTATATTCCAGATGTTTCTTTGTTACTCCCATTGCATTTCCTTCGATCATTCTTCCAGATCACCTCACCTACTGTTTCATTGCTAACACTCAAATTTGTTAACACCCTTTTGTCCTCCTTCCTTCTGATGGTATTAACTCCCACTTCATCCTTCTTTCTGCTACCTATTTCGGGGGTATCTGGTTCTCTTCTAACACTGCCATCAATCCCGCTGGGGCTCCAGTTGTTTCTTCGCAGCCCCTTTGACTGTGGATCGATGTTTTCCCTCTGTTCTATACTCTCTTTTCTCTCCTCCTTACTCCT